CTTATCAGAAACAAAAACACATTTAAAACCATTCTTAACAAGAAGTCCAGTAGAGACTAAATTATTCCTAATCTCGGGAACATGAAGGACGTTGTTCAAAGTCACCACTTTGCCGGAAGTCATTTTGAGAAATATCTTCCCACATCCTTCAATCTTCGCCTTTGAAGCATTTCCCATAGAAATCGTCTCATCAGGTCCAACAGGAGCATAAGAAGCAAAAGCTTCTCTAACAGCACAAACATGGCGAGTGGCTCCAGAATCAATCCGCTACTCTTTAGGATTGCCCACCAAGTTGTATTCGGAAAGCATGGCACATAAATCATCAACATCATCATGCTTTTCAACCATGTTTGCTTGACCCTTCTTCTTGTCTTTCTTCAGAGCACGACACTCCTTAGATTTGTGTCCAGTTTTTCCATAGTTGTAGCAGTTTCCACTGAACCGCTTCTTGCTTGGGTTGTATTTCGGTCCAGAAGCCTTCTTCCTCTTTTTGTTCTCTTCAACAATATTTGCTCCCATTATTGTTGAGTTTCCACGACCTCTCTTTTCAGCAGCTTTGTTGTCCTCTTCGATTCTAAACCGAACAATGAGATCTTCAAGGGACATCTCCTTGCGTTTGTGTTTCAAGTAGTTTTTGAAGTCCTTCCACAAAGGAGGCAACTTCTCAATCATTGCTGCTACTTGAAATGCTTCACTGATGACAAGACCTTCAATGAAATTTCTGTTAGTAAAAATACTAAGATTATTACTTTCAACATCAATACTAATTTGAGTTATACCTTCAGCAAGGAGATCGTGAATAATCACTTGCAATTCCTGGACTTGGGTAATAACAGACTTTCTATCTATCATTTTGTAGTCCAAAAACTTTGCAGCAACAAACTTTTTCAACCCGACATCTTCGGTTTTGTATTTCTTTTCAAGCGCAGTCCACAGTTCCTTTGATGTTTCCACGCCACTGTAGACGTTATACAAAGCATCCTCCAGCCCGCTTAGAATATAATTCTTGCACAAAAAATCTGAATGCTTCCACGCCTCAATCACGAGAAAGCGTTCAGTTTCTGGAGTTTCATCGGACAGCACAGGAACATCTTCCTTGATGAACTTCTGGAGACTTAGAGTAGTCAAATAGAAGAACATTTTTTGCTGCCAGCGCTTGAAATCAATCCCGAAAAAATTTTCGGGTTTCTCCGCCGGTGCCAATGCTGCCGGTGTCGTTCGGCTTGTTGAGGCATTGGCAGTCACCATTGGAACAGCTTGGTTCTCATTCTCATTAGTCATTTCTGTAAAAGAATGACACAAACGTTAAAATCACGTAGATTTTAATAGAGTACAAAACCACAAAGGTTTTACTCTTCCAGAAACAGTAAGTACAAATACAGAAATCAAATTAAATTCCTTAAGCTTGTTAGTAGACTGTATTTGTAAAATAATTCTGGAAATATAAATGAGTATAAACAAAAATGAACATAAACAGAAATGACATAAAACCAATTCGAGCCCACTGAATTCACAGTGTTTCCTTAAGGAATTTAATCCCCTCCTAGTACCCAAGGTTATGGATTATTTCCTCCCAGGATAGAACGAATTACACACTGGTGTAGTGGTACTTCAAACCCCAGTGTTTCAGCGAACACAAAGTTCGGTAGCAAATCACACTTACTTTTTGCTTTGTTTGATGCTAAAAGTATGCAGAAGAAGGATAAGAAACTCAGAAAATCGTAGTGAAATTCTGAGCAGAATAGTGTTGTATTTATAGCCAAAGTTAGGCTGAAATCTGAAGAGGTGCAACTCTTCAGAATGGCTGTTTATGCAAAACGCCCACAACATAAATGCCATTACATAAATGGCCATTTACTCAATAATAAAGAGGGAAAATAAAGAGGGAAAATTGAAGAGGGTAGTTACTTTTCT